GAACTGTATGATGCCGCACTGTGATGAACGTCCTGCCGTGTTTTTGACATGTGGACAACACGTCCTCTGTCAGGACTGTTTTGATGGGATGGTTCGTACTAGCCGTCCTGCAGAATGCTGTGCTGGCGCAGCTCTCCTTGGGCATCCTTGTGAACATCCACATCATCCTCACCGTAGCTGTCCTATCTGCCGAGGTGGGGGCAGGTAAAGAAAAAAAGAAGAAAGAAAAAGAGAAAAAAAGAAAAAAAGAAAAAAGAGAAAAACCTGTCATCCACGTGGCTGGCCTTGTACGTAAGAGGTTATGAACAGGTGGAGCTTTCCTTACCTCTTCCCCCTCCCCCTTTTTTCCTTTTCCTTTTTTCTTTCCCCTTTTTTGCGCTAATATATATATATATTGTCCTCTTCTCCCTCTCTGCCTACGGTTTACCGGGCAGTTCTATTTGACGATATATATATATATATATATATATATATGTATATATATATATATATATATACCGGGCAGTTCTATTTGACGATATATATATATATATATATTTGACGATATATATATATATATATCCAGCTCAGGATTTGACAATTCCTGTTGCTCCTCCCAACTTGGAGTCCCCTCATGTAGATAAAGTTTCATACTGGCCCCGCCCCTCATCTCCCTGAACCCCCCTTCCCCTTTTCCCCCCTCTCCCTGACCCCCTTCCTACCACTCCTTACACCCTCTAAATGACCCCTAATTTGAACCGACTCCTTCTCCACCTTTTCCTGTTTGCTCAAGGAACCTCTACCATACCCACACCCTCAATCGTACACCAGCATCATACTACCTTCGTACACTCCCAGCCCCTGCGAAGTAGACGCTTGACCCATGCAAAATCATCTACCCCTCGATCCATTCAAATCATCCACCCCCAACCCCCAACCCATGCAAAGTAACCCACTCCCAACTCCCAAACCATCCATATCCAAGCCCCAAGTCATGCAAGATCATTTATAAACCCATGCAAAATCACCCGCCCCAAACCCCCAATCCCTTGAAAGTACACTCCCAGCCTGTGCAACATCATATGCCCCCAACCCGTGCAAAGTCATACAACCCCCAAACCCCAACCCATGCAAAATCATCCACCAGCAACCCACAACCCCTCCACAGTACACTCTAACCCCTGCAAAATCATCCCCCCCCCAACCCCCAACCCATGCAAAACCATCAACCAGGAACCCACAACCCCTACTAAGTACACTCCCAACCCCTGCTCGACCATACCCATCTCCCTCTTCCCTGCACGAGCATCAACATACCTTCACACAGCCCCAACCCTGGAAAAACATCCTACCCCCCGACCCTACCAATGTATGCCCTGACACCTGACCCCCATTTCCAGGGATCCTTCAATTGATACTGACCTCTCCTCCCCCCCCCCACAAAAAAAAAGGACCCTCAAATTGTCCCAAGCAAGGAAAAAGAGGGCGTGTTGAGCAGAGGTGTGATGAGAATCTTTGTAAGCCATGATTGAAAATTACCTTCACATGCTCTGAGACCTGACCCCCATTTTCAGGGATCATTCA